TTTTGCCACTGGTTCTGTGGACGTGGCTTGGTGGGGGAGTGTCATGTGACTGGGTGGGCGTGGCCAACTTTTTTTCACTTTTTAAAGCATTTTTTTCCTGCCGGTTTGGGTGAATAGGCAGGGGAAAAAATGCTTTAAAATGTCAAGGGGGGGGGGGAGACTTCCGACCATCGTGCAGCTCACCGCTGATCTGCAAAATTGTCGGAAGTTTCCCCCCCACACATTTTAAAGCATTTTTCCCTCCCTGCCTACTCACCTGAGCTTTAAAAAGTGAAAAAAATCCACCCCTTCCGATGATCCTTGGAAGCTTTTTTTTAAACTACCGGTTTGCAGAACCAGGGATAATCGTCCCTACTGGTTGGGCCGAACCGGGATGATTTCACCCCTGAATCCGGCCCCACTCAAGGGTTTCGAGCTGGACAGGACTCAGGAGGACACTGAGCCCAGACCTCTTGCAACTCCAAAGGCAGGCAAGCTGCTTCGGCCCTCCGCTTCAGTGGTTGCAAGCGAAGGAGGGTTCCCCGTGCCCAGACTCAGGGAAACAATTCCTGGCACTTCCCACAGCAGGAGAGGAGGGGTCTACGAGAGCCATGGGCAGAGGGCAGAGCCATGTGGGGCACCCAAGCAATTGGGGAATGTTTCTTCCCCGGCACCAACCTGATGACCTCCAGCTCCGTGCAGCTCTCAGACTGATCGGTGCCTTCGGGCGCGAGGTCGCCCTTCAGCAAGGCAGCGTGCACTGGGGTGCTCTCAGCGGATGACGGTGCTTCCACCTTCCCGTCAAAAGGGTTGTAGCGCTGGGTGGGGCTCTTGGCGGAAGCCTGGCAGCTGTTCAACTCGGAGGCCACAGAACGTGGACAGCTGAGCATATCAGTCAGGTCTCCTTCTGGAAGGAAGGAAGGAGAGATGGGAGGGATGGAATCAATGGAAGGGAGGGAGGAAGGGAAGGAAGGAGAGATGGAATCAATGGGAGAGAGGGAGGGAGGGAAGGAAGGAGAGATGGGAGGGATGGAATCAATGGAAGGGAGGGAGGGAAGGAAGAAAGGAGAGATGGGGGGATGGAATCAATGGAAGAGAGGGAGGAAGAGAAGGAGGAAGNATGGCCCGTTCTTTGCTTGTTTTTGCCTTCCCCCTGGGGCACTTTGCAAGCCTCCCAAACCCTCTGCACGTCCATTCTTGCAAAGGGGGCGGGGTTTCAGTAGACCAAAAATGATGTATTCAGTGTATAAGACGCACCCAGATTTTCACCCTCTCTAAGGTGCGTCTTATACGCCGAAAAATACAGCATTCTTTTAGGAATTCACCTGCCTCAGAGTTTTTGCTTGCAAGGGATGTATTACTTGGAACCCCGACACAGGCTGCCATCCCCCCCCCCCCCACACCTTGGAAGAAGGGTGGTCGAGCATTGCCATCTCTCAGGTGGAGGGTCTGGCCAAAGGGAGGAACCAGCCCTTACCTGAACTCCGAGGGATGGGCAGCCTCCGACGGACTGCCCTGCCCTTCCTCCACCCCTGAGTCCTCGGCGCTGCTCAGAGAAGGGCTCGCCCGATCCTCCTTCAGCCTGCTGAGGGCCGCCGCACTGGCCGTCTCCACCACTTCTCCCGGCGAGCTGGCTACGGCTGGCCCAGCAGCCTCCCCCTCTCCTCCTCTTTCTTCCTCTTGTTCAGGAGCTTCAGGGCTACCAAAAACATGTGCCGGTTGACCATGCCCTGCAGAGTCATGGTGGCCACCACCTGTTGCAGGAGTGTTTGGACTCTCAACGGTAAAGCGGTAGAAGTCCATGGGGGCCGGCAGACCCTGACCAAAGCTGCCAAGGGATGGCCCTTCCGAAGGGGGGTCCCCTGGCAAGTCGGTCCGAAAGGACTGGTCTGGGGGATCCAGGGGGTGGCTCCACCCGTCGGCCGCCTCCAGCGAGTCGATCACCTTGCTGAGTTCCTGCCCCACCCGTTCCATAGCCGTGTCCTTCATTTCGGGGATCTGGAGCCCCAGCTGGCAGAGGGCCGGCGCTTCGGTGCTGACCGTCAGGTTGGACTCTGGGGTGGTCCATGGCCGCCCGGCCTCCTGGTTCACCGCCTGGTCTCCAGCTGGAGCAGGGAAGGAGGGGACAGAGGCCTCCTCCGATTTCACTTTCTTCTTCTTGCCTGTTTTCTTCTTTTTAGCCAACCTGTCAAGAGAGGGAAATGAGTTATCGGGCTGTGGCGCACCAGGGAATAGCTGCAAGCCGAGCAGCCGGCAGGCTTGCTCAGGGCTCAAGGATAGGGGGACATCTGGCCAGCGGTGAAATCTACCGTATTTTTTGGAGTACAAGCACCAAGATTTTGAAGAGGCAAATTTTAAAAAAAAGTGTTTGCACTCTGCAGACCTCTCAAAAACGGGCCCAGTTTTTTGTCAGAAAAAAGGGCATGCATAGCCTTTAGGAGGCTTATAGAGTGCTCCTGGGGGCTAGGGTGGGGGCAAAACCAAGCAAAACATGGCCCATTTTTTGCTCATTTCTGCCCTCCCCAGCCCCCAGGAGCGTTCTATAAGCCTCCTAAAGGCTATGCACAGCCATTTTTGCAAAGGGGGCGGGATTTCGGGAGGCCACAAATGCTATATTCAGTATATAAGACGCACCCAAATTTTCATCCTCTTTTTTGAAGGAAAAAGGTGTGTCATATACTCCAAAAAATATGGCAATTTTTTTGCCACTGGTTCTGTGGACGTGGCTTGGTGGGGGAGTGTCATGTGACTGGGTGGGCGTGGCCAACTTTTTTTCACTTTTTAAAGCATTTTTTCACTGGCCTCTTAACCCAAACCGGCAGGAAAAAAATGCTTTAAAA